CAATGTTTTTGTTTAATATTATCCCGATACCATATCTGTGTGAACAGTCTTGATTTCCTGAATAATATAATAAAATTTCACGCCTTAGCGACTACTTAAGGGTTAACGTCTTCTTTAGTTAATGCAGATGGTGTCTAATATTGGAAACTAAAGTAGCGTAGATTCTGGATGAGAAATTGCACTGAAAACGGCACGATGATCTCACACCATCAGTTATTTTCCAAATATTTCCTCGATGCCTTCAATTCCATCAGTTAATATGTTTTCACCAGATTTGAATATCTGGGCACTTACTTTTTTAAGATTATTTGTGAGTGAAATTATTCTAGGCTAAAGATATCCATAAAATATAGTGTTTTCAGTTTGCAGAAAATCTAGGCTTTTTGCTAGTGGCTTAGTACTTTCGCAGTTTTATTCAAGGTACAATGTAGTTAATTTTAATTAAATTAAAAACATTGAAATTAATCAATGATTGTAAATTTGAACTACGAATATGCCTTAAAAGTTTTCATTTGAAGAATACAGAAATATGAGTTTCAATGTGTAATACAAAAAGTATCTGAAAATTTACATCAAGTTCCAATTACATACATTTAAAATTTTACAGAACGTTTATGGAAGTATGTAAACAATTTGCGAAATACGGATTATGCGATTATCTGTTGGATAGATAAGTGAACATACCAATAAAAGTATATGACGAAATTATAATATAGTACCTACCAAAGATAACGATTTATCCTCGGTACGTTTGTATCGAAAAATTGTTAAAGCAACTTTTAGAAGAAGGAAATATTGAGTGCACAGGCTTGTCACAAGCACCTGGTAAGGCACATTAACTTCTGTTTATAGATGTTTCGTATAATACGTTTTGTAGCTCTTTAGCTTTGTGTTTTCTCGTCTTATAATTGAGCCAAAATTTGAACATAACGATATTGGAAAACATGTCGACACCTGCTATGAATAACATTGTAAATTCACTTACAATGTTTTTCAACTTTGGCTTAAATGACATCTATAAAGGATAACCTTCATTTTGCTCCAAAAACTGTTATCCTATCTTATGTAAATAAAAAATTATGTAACAAAATAACCTTATTATAAGTGCAAATTTTAAAAGTCCAATTTTTCCACTGTTTCCATCCATTTTTGTCATCTGGCTGCATTTAGACTGGGCAGTAGTTCGTCAGCAATTTCTCAGTTTTGGCTTTCGTTGTATTCTTGATACAATTTCTCACATTTTTCATCTTATGCTGGGACATACTAGTTTTCTTTGTTGTGGAGATAACTGCGCCAACAAATCTCATATAGTTTGCACATGTTGGGGTTATCCATCCCAGACATGTGTCCAATCTCTCAGTCCAATGTGCTCAGTCTGCTTTTTGAAAGTTCCACCTAGGTCGAAGAAAAGATGATATTGGTATTTTGATGCCAACTTCTACTACAACTGGTCTATGTTGGTTATGTGGAAAATCTGGGAGTACTGTACGTGAAGCAGCCACTGGTTGATTGTTTTTGTTTGTGAAAATAAAACATATGTGTGATCTGTGTTGTATTCTCGCCTCCAGGCCTCTTAAGTGTCAGCCTTTTCGCTCCAGTTTAGCAGAGCCTTGCCGTTTTGATCACTATGCGTATACTTCCAGAGTTCATGATGACTATTGAAGTCTCCAACATAAACTGAGGGATGTGAGTGAGGGTGAATAACATGCGGAGGCCACAGGACTGTCGGGTGTTTATAAATATTGCTGACGTAATTTCGTCAATTTGTATAGTAACCGTATGAATGTTATTTATGTCTGATGTAAAACATATGTGTGCATTTTCTATTTTGTTTCGAACATGGGTTGTAACTTCATAAGCTGGATGGTAAGATGCACCCAATAAACCATAGCCATGAATTCTTTCTCTAGCAAGAATTTGTTCTTCGTTTTCTACATGGGTTTCATGAATTTGGACCACGTCGATATTATTTTCAATGAGTGCCTTTTGAAGGTACTCACATTTACTTCTACTAATACCTTCTATATTTAAGTGGCAGATTAGGATGCTTGGTCCGAGTCGTTTTGTCGCTTGGTCCTGAGAAGGTTCATTTCAATTGTTGGTTGGAGGCATATCTTATATTCGTGATGTGTTCTTGCCAGTAAATTTATAGATTCTAGATTGCCTGCCTTCCAATTGTAAGCGTAGACTGCTACTTTGCATATATCTTTATTGTGTATTAATAATTTTACATAAATATCAGACTGATACAGTTTTACGTTGACTTAGAACTACTAAGAATAGAGGATCTCTACTAGACAAATTTCTTCGTGGTTTTCCAGCACCTTCGTGCTTGGATACTTATTATAGTTATAATTTATCACTCGAGACTGACCTAAAAACGACTGGAACCGTTATTTCTTTAAATCAGTTTTACAAATAATTGTATGATTTATTAATATGGAAGTGATAAATATGAAGAACGTTTTGGTAACAATCTTAAAGAATTTCAGGCCGTTTCTTTCTGCGATTGATTAATTTCTTATTAAATAGACCATCAACAGGATAACAAATATAATTTGTGGGAGTATATGTACTTGGTTCAACAACACAGTTAAAATATACAAAGGTCACTTAATAAGTAATTAAAAGTGATCAAGTAAACAAAGCTGATCAATTGTGACAAAACTCATGAATTATGCACAACAAATAACGATAATGAACGTTTTAGGACGATTAATTATCACTTGACATGACATAAAATTAAAATAAGAACGTATTTAATCAATTTGTCGGTGTGACGTCAGCGAATGTGATAATTTTCACTTTCATCCATCGGTCTATGACAATAAACTATATTTTAATAATACAGTACAGGAAGAGTATCTATATTTACGAAATATTTTTGTTCATTATTTTGTAATATAAAATAAAAATATTTTTCTTGATTAAAATGAATTTTTATAAGTCAAATATTGAACATGTTGCCTGTGTGAGTCCAATTCAAATAGATAAAAAGAAATAAGAATAAGATTTACTCACAATCAATTTATTCTACCACCAACGACCGATTTCGCATACTATAATTTGCTATGCATCTTCAGGTCAACGGTACATGATGATGGGCAAAGTCTGCATACTCTCAGGTGCTCCACGTTCTGTATTTCCCCACATTCACAAAGTGCGTCGCTATCTGTCTTGATGCCCCATTTAATGAGGTTCTGTCTTACAGGGCAACTCCTCTGCGTATGTGGTTGAGTGTCCGCCAGGTTCTCCACTCCAGGTTCATTCCATTAGGTTGTTCTGAATGTAGGGAGAACAGTTCGGGTGGTTCGACGCTGACATTTCTTATACATTTTTTCCTTGATTTAAGTCGGCTGATTACTGGCGGTTCGTCAAATCCGTATAATTGGTGCCTTTCATCGAAAGTTTGCCTGAACTTGTGAGGCGCGAACATATTGTGAGGCGCATATACGGTCGTCTGGTGATGCGAATCCAGCTGCCCGGTACAGTAGGGGTAGAGGGGTAGGCTTTATACAACCGGATATTATTCTACATGTTTCATTTTTTAACACTGTGGTGACTTGTTGTGCGTGTCTAGATCTATCCCAGACGGGACAAGCATATTAAGGCCTCAGCTGTTGACTTCAAGACATGGGGGTTTGCACCCCACTTGCTCCCTACAAGTTTCCGGACAGGTTGTAGAAACCTTTTGTCTTGTGCTCTGACAGTGGAATTTATACGTTAGTGATCGGTCTAGTATCACTCCAAGATATTTGGGCCTCTCAGTATGTTTCAAGCGGTATCCCTCCCAAGAAACATTCAGTTTTACATGCGCCAGTTGGTTGTTGAGATGGAATGCACATACTTGGGTTTTAGTAGGGTTTGGCTTTAATGAATTTTGTTTGTAATAAGTAGACATCATGTTTCCTTCCATTGTCGACTCTACTTGTGTAAGTGTTTCCCCTTTACGGCTATACCAAGGTCGTCAGCGTAAACAAAACTCTCAGTCTGGGTGCATTGGTTGGTCGTTGGTGTAGATGTTAAATAAGGACGGCGCCAGAATGCTTCCTTGAGGTAGGCCATTTTTTTGGGTTCTCCATCTGCTCTTCTTTCCATTTAGCACAACGTAGAAGCGTCTATTACACAACAGTGATCTAATGATATTTACGAGGTCATAGTCAAGCACAGTGTGATAGATCTTAGTAAGCAAGGTTCTGTGGTTTATCGTATCATAGGCCGCTGTGAGGTCTATCAAAGCTGCTCCCACTATTTCTTTCTGTTCAAATCCCACTATGTATTCTGTTAGGTTCAGCACTTGGATTGTGCATGATTTACCTGGTCTGAAACCTGCTTGTTGTGGGATTAGTGGGATGTAATTTTGTTGACATCCTCTGGGTATGTGTTTACATGAGATTCGTTTTACAAGTTTGATGAACGCATCATAGTTTTTGGGGATCGGGACTATATTTTTCACTTGTGTTTCCAATTCATCAGTAAATTTTTCCCAGTTCGCTTTAATATTATTAATATTATTAATTTCTCAGAAAATATAATAACCCGTATTAGAGTACTGTCTGATACAGAATATACAGCAATTATGCCAATATTATATGTCTGTGATTATTAAATATAAATTTAGGTTGATTCAAAATTAAGTGAAATTATTTAGTAAAATTGAAATTAAATAAATACTTACATGCCGATACAAGGATTGTTATTAAATATTGAAGAAAACATAGTTTAATGTCACCAATTTACCATAAAGAATTTTTAAACCAAATCCGTCTTGACGAGAAAAATTACACTCCAAAACAGTCATTTACTGGAGTAGTGGAGATTAGCTGGATAGATATTGTGCAATGATATTGGAAAACCACAGAAAACTATTTACAGGGGTACAATGACTTGCTGCTGATACTCATATAATTTGTATTTAACCAGCATATCTAAAACTTAATAACGGTCATTACTGACTAATATTGACTACTGAATTACTTATAGTTTTCTCTTCATTACAGGCATGTTCCAATTTTGGCGGGTGATGGACAAATGCACCGTCATCGCCAAAAAGGAGCTACTGTACACCGGACCTTTTGGCCTGGCGGCTTATTTGTGCGGTCTCATTTTTATACCTCGGGTGCACGCCGAAAGGGCGAAGATCATCATGAACGAAGCTGCTCAAAAAATTAAGACTGATAAGGTAAGTGATTGACTTTAAAATCCTTTTTAGCGTTCCGTAATCCATTTCTCTGGTCACCAAGATCCTGTTGTCACCGTTAGATTATTATATTTGGAGATATGTCAAAAATAAGGTGTTCTCTGAACCTGTCACTACGGAGGAAGCTATAATAAATAAAGTCCTTTAAGTTCTTAACGAAATAGATAGAGATTCAATATCAAGGGCTACTAATGAAAATCTGATTAAAAGAGTACATAAATGATTGGATGTTGATGGATAACATTTTGAACATTTATCACATTAATAAGCTAGTGCCTATTTTCATTGGTAGTATCTTTTTAATTGTTCTATGTTTAACTTACAATATGAAAGTTGTAAATTAACACAAAATAGTCTACGGAAAAAAATTTTTGTGGCAAAAATGTATAAAGTTAATTTATTTGAAAACTCAGCTAGGTACTTTGTCACTAGTAAGTGGTCGTTAGTGCTGTTGCGTTGAATTGTAGAGTTGTCACTGTTGTAGTCTTTGTATAATATTAGTGCTTGAATTGAGCTGTGGGAGATTCCAGCTTGTAAAGTGAATGGTGTACATAGCGTATTTGCGACTTTGACACGGATTGTCCGACTGGAGAGATTGAAGGCGATTATTTTTACGAATGAGATAGGTAGTAAGGCGGACCTTTGGCACACTAGGGCTGTGTGCCAAACATGAACGAAGATCTTCTTTACATCAAGGAAGATGCCTATGGCGTATCTATTTGTTTCATTGAAGGCTTGTGATAAGTGATATGAAGGTTGCTGCTTCAATAAATTTATTTTATGTGGAGTGTTTAGCTCTGATGAAAATTGGAAGTTGGGGATGAGAAGATATGCGTCTAGGAATATCTATAGATGTATAGTTCTATATTTTATATTGGTTAATAGTATGTGTAAATGCAGATGCACCCCCTGAAAATAATCCTAGCGACGCCCATGGTTGATACATGCTTCTTAATTTGATGTTTTATTTAATTTTTTAATTTTTTTGCGTGAGCATATAAGAACATACAAATTTAATTTATATTTTATTAAAAATACCAGAATAATATATTATGTACGTACTAACTGTCCCGTTTCTGTTCTATAAAATATACAAAAACAAACACAAATAAAATATTTACTTAGGAATTGAACAAAGTCTTTATTCCGTTATTAATTATCGACTGATGACAAGGAGTCAACAGTCATAATTTCGGAAATATTGATTTAAGTCCGGCAAATTCAATAAATAAATAATATTAAGAGAAAGATTCTTTCGTCAACACTGAATGTTTAAATAATGTATAGATAAAATACGAGTATGTTACTTTTGAGGAAAAACGACCTTGATTTTTTGATGATCGTTAAAATTAATTCCATTTTGTCTATTCGTAGTACTATTATTATAGCTGTAAACCATAAAAATTATTATTATTGAATATTATACAGGACACACGAACTTACCAAATAAAGAATAGAATTTTATTTTTATAAACGATTCGCTTGTGGTGAAACTAAATCACCCTCTTCTTTCACAAATTTTTCATTCAGGACGTTCTTCTGCTCAGGGCCGTTCCTAAGGTATCTGCCGCCGGGGTGCGAGCAAACCTAACCTTCCTAGAAAGTTTATAAGCATTTGTAAATCGAAAAGTTAAAATAATTTTACCTTAACTCGTTCACTGCTCATGACTCGGATCCGAGTCAGCTATGTTTACCTCTGTATGCTCATGACTCGGATCCGAGTCGACGGGAATCCCAAATTAAAACGCGTCAGTAATCTTTTAGCACTTGAGTACGACTGTTGTATTCTGAGGAGCGTATTTGTATACCTTTCTATAATTGAAAAGTGCTTTTCGTTTTTAAATCGTATTATAAAGTGTGCGAATTAAAAAACCTAAATTACAAAGTGCAAAATTCACACCAGACGAATCATTTAAAATTCTAAATTATTTATTTAGTGATCACGACATAGAAATTAGCGACGAAGAGTCTTAGCCATCTGAAAATGACTATTCTGGTAAGCTATGAGTGAGCGATTACACGAAATCAACTTTAACTTAAGAATATCCGTCAGAATTTAATTTTAAACCTAAATTGTGGCTTTATTCCCAAATAAAATAGTAAATTATTTTACTGTTGTACAGATGATGAAATATTTACTGAAATGTAGGATATCAATCAAAGTATGACTGATATAGGAGAATAAAACACCGCTGAAGTTTGGACAGATAAGGTTTCGGAAATTTAGAGATTTTCTTTTACTAGAAATAACGGACTTTTGATAGATCCTCTAGAAAACTCTAAACCAAGACTATTTTCGAATGATATTCGATCATGAGTTTTTGAATATAGTGGTAGATGAAACCAATTATTATGCTGAACAAACATTTTTGTCCTGAGTTGATGCTCGGCAACATAGCCGGATTTCTAGATATAAACCGCTTTCCATACCAGAAATTTTGATGTTTATTGGATTAATTTTCCATACTGGTAACATACGCATGTCAAAATTAAAAGATTACTGGAAAACAGATCCATTATTTAACCTGAAATGTATTTCCAAAACACATTTTGGACTGGACATTAGAGGTCGAATTAGAAACCCCTCAGAAGCAACCAATACTAAACTATCCAAAGGAGAAACCAAAGTACAATATTGTAATGGAGTAATGATTGGTAAATGGCATGACAAACGAGATGTGGTTGTATATATCTTCTGAATTTACAAATACTTTGACTGAACATACAACCAGGGGAGGATGGAATATTGCCAGACTATTACCAATATTGAAATATAACCAGTACATGGCAAGTATACAAGATCAAATGCTGTCGTAATACCCATGTTCCGGTAAAAAGTTAAGGTGGTATAAAAAACTTGGGCTCCACTTTTTCCAGTTAATGTTGCTTGACGCCTTTTTTCTAGAACATTCTAGAACAAAATTCCCCCTCAGATTTACTCTAGAAGTCATTCGCCAATTACTCTATAAAACAAATAATAATAATATACGTTTATACAAATCCATAAGTATTACATTAATTTACAATTTCAATTTCAGTTTACTTACAGTAACATAAACGTAAAAAAAGTCTTTAAAGCATTAACATGCTTGTTGACTTAAGCTGTCTAATATTAACAGGTTTAATGTTTTTTTTTTACAAATTATTATTTCATTTTTACAGTTTCTAATCTAATCTAATTTGTTTCGTTTTTTTTATCTAGTATAATTTAAATTTATTAAATTGTTACACAACTCCCTTTTTTCTTTTACCCAAGCATTAACTAATTTTTTATACAAATAAAAATTTTTGATATTTTTAAAATTTATGGGCAATTGATTGTATATTCTTGGAGCAAAATATTTAATTGACCGTTGCGTGATTGTTTTTGAAGTATGAAGACAACATTCAATTTTCTTCTTGTTTCATAATTTGACACTTTTACTTTAAGAGTTATTTTATCTTTTTGAATATTTTTAAGTAGCTCTAAGCAGTACAATTGCCGAACATCAAGAATCTGAGTTTCATGAAAAAGTTGGTCTGAGGGATATGCTTTTCGTTTTCCATATATTAGTTTAAGAAACCATTTCTGAGTATTTTGAAGGGTCACCAGATGGCAATCAGCTACGCCACCCCATCCTAAAATCCCATATACAAGATGAGATTGTACTAAAGACAGGTAAAGCATTTTAAGCTGTTCAACATCTAAAAACTCTTTTAAATAGCGGAATTTTGCTAACAGTCCTCTTATTTTTCTTATAATATTTTTTATTTGTAAGTCCCATTTAAGGTGCCTGTCAATTAAAACTCCTAAATATTTTATGTATTCTGCTTTAAATATTTGTTGTTTTTTATTTATTTTTAATGAGTTAAAAGTTGGCAGAGAATTTTTATATATTGCAAAAGGTATATATTTAGTTTTTTCGTAATTTATTGTGAGTTTATTTATTTGCAACCATGTTTTTATAACTTTGAAGTCTTGTTCAACTATAGTCTTAAGATCTTCCCAATTTTCGGCCTTATAAAAAATTGCGGTGTCATCAGCAAAGCTTATTATGTTTCCATCAGTTTTTAGTTTAAGCATGTCATTAACATAGAGTGTAAAGAGTAGAGGGCCTAAAACGGTCCCTTGCGGTACGCCATAATTAATTACTTCAGGATCACTTTCGACACCATCAATTTCTACAAATTGTTTTCTGTCTGTTAAGTAACTTTTTAGTAATGTCAAAACGCGTCCTCTCAGACCATACTTCTCAAGTTTCTCTAACAAGATCCCGTGAGATATCGTGTCAAACGCCTTAGAGAGATCGACAAATATGCATAAACTACGTTTATTAGACTCAAAAGCTTCTGATATTTGTGATGTTAGTTTACAAATAGCATCTTGTGTAGATTTTCTTTCTCTAAAACCGTATTGACAATAAAAGTAAAGAACGCAATTTTGCATACGAAAATTTGCTAAAATAATTGATACTATATCCAAAAAGGAAGAAACAAAAAGGAAACGATGTGGAATATCTTCTATCAATAAAATTAGAAAAAACACAATTTACGAGTGTGCTAATTGTGACGAAAAACCTGGTTTATGCATAGGAGATTGTTTTCGCAAATACCATTTAAATAACAGATAGATTGCATTCAGTATATTAGTTTAAATAAAAAATTTATTTTCTAAGGACCTTTTAATTGTTATCTGATATCCCATAACAATTTCTAGTCCGAAAATATAAATATCTTGAAAACTTTCACGTATTATGGGTAATAAATTGACATCCTTCAATAAAAGACTATAATAAGAAGGTACCTATACTTTGAATAAATTGGTTTTGCCGATATTGACTTTCTAATTACTAATTTGCATAAAAGTCAAATGTTGTACCTGGTCTCAATGCTGTTGAATATTAGAATATTTATTTCGCTTGTTGAAACTCCAAACAATATGTACAAATTTTTCTGTACTCTTGTTCCAGATCGTATTTTGTTATCGAGATAAATTTAAATTT